GGAAAAAAAAAAAAAAAAAAAAAAAGAAGATAACAGGCTCAAATAAATATCTTCACTACTAATTCTTACTTGCTCCAAAAGGAGCTGGAGACATAAATATGCATAAATTGCTTCAAGACATATCACAAAGTTGTTGTACAAGTAAAATGGCAAATAATACCATTGAATAATGGGAAGTGATGGTACCATGATGCTATAAAAGGAACATATATATGTCATTAATGTTTCATGTTGTACAGACATAAGACATTAATCTTCCTACCAAATGCGGTACGTGACAGATTAGCTTAATTCACTCACAAGCAATTACATGTTGTTATTTTATGTTTCATTACGTTTACATTTTAGTTTCTTTAACTCCTACATGCAGAGTTGATTTTCTAGTATACTCTTCACTACATGCTCATAAAGCCAAGTTCCCACAATCTTATATAATGCACTGTTGAAAAACTGAAGGCAAATTTACAGAATCTTGTATATGTTCAGCAATACCTAACCTCGAGACAGGAATCACCATATTATATTAAACTACACAGATTTTTTAATGGTTGAATACAACCCCTGATTAGTCAAAAGATGTTAGGTACCTGCTTTGACCAGTGATAAGAGAGAGACATGATTAACATCTCAGAAAACATTAAGCCATAAAGTTAGACCATAAATATATTAACATGTTAAAAATTAAGAAAAATACCTCCAGTTCACTGTGTTACCATTTTTTAAATGTTGTTGCAATATGAACTATACAGAAACTATTGTACGCAGGACATCAGAGGGAGGCATCTTTAGACAGATGAAAGATTTCAATTGACAACATCCTTTTCAGTTCTACTCCATCAAATACACGATGACTGTGGAGAGGTGCAATGGCTTGAACTCAAGGAACAGCACTTGCACACATGCTTCAAATTAAATACATGCTTATGTGCTTTACTGAATTAAGGCTTTACAGGAGGGGAAGGAGGCTGTGTAAAGCAAGACAAATCTTAAGTGCTGGAAGTATAAAAATCGCTTCATTTGGACAATCCATCGCCGAAAGGCTATTATCATGGTTTTATCCTGTGCTAAGGTGTCTCTTTAGGTCCAATTTTGAAACCCTTACTTTGAACATAATTTCACTACACAAGTAACCCCACTTACCTCAACATAAATACATACAGAGTGAAGTGCTTCTCCCTAGAAGTACCAGAATCTCGACTTCAAAAAAAAAAAAAGAACTCGCTTTCTTTGTTTTGTTGTTGTTTTTTTTAAATCACAGCTAATGTACCAAATGCACATTAGCTTTTTTAGTAATTTATGTACATTTGCTTAAAAGCACACCATGCCAGAACATTTTAGATATTAAATAATTTAAATAAAAACATTAGGCAGTTTGTATTTACAAAATGAAAATGGTTAAAGCAGTTTAAAAGAAAGGATTTTAGGTCTCAGAGCTACCTAAATTCTGATGTTAGTTTTAAAAACACATTTTCCACCTAGCATTTTTAATCCCACAAACACTGAAATGCCTTGTTGTAAGCTTCTAAAAATGGGGGACACTACGTAATGGAAATAAATGATACTGCTGGGTGCTGCTAGGATTTGCCTTCTTTGAAGTACATATGTTTACTAATGCTTGCCAAAATGTCTAATGCCAGTAAAAAAAAAATCAAAAGTTTGGGATGTTAACTTGAGCAAAACATTTTTTTTCCTTTAAAATAAAATATATAGGAAACATTTTTCTAATTAAACACAGTATTTGTTTGGAAATGATAAAATTTTATCTTTACAACTCTTGTTCTTATTCCTGGGTGGAAAGCAACTTTTGTGCTTTCCCTCATTCCTTGGTCTGACATTTAATTTCTAAGCCTTATTTCACCAGTAAATATGCAATTTTCTAACTTAATAGTAGGTTAATGCTTCACGATTATAGAAATTTGAATGTTATTCTGTAAACAAAATTTGGATATGAGCAATTATGTTAAACCGGTTAAATAAGAAAAAAGTAGAAAAAAATAACTGCTAATGCTAGTTAGGATAGAAAATACAAAATGTCTATGAATTACAACAGACTTTCAGCTGAAACATTTTCACAAAAGTATTTGTCAACAGCTGATTTACAACAAATCAATTTACTATTATTGTTACTTACCATTAAAAAAACCATTAAAAATGTTTCTCTGTGCTAACAGCTTGCCCTTGGACCATAAATTTAAGAATTAAGAATACAAGTTGCAATTATCAATAGTTTTTAAAGTCCCTGCCATGTATAGAGGGTTTGTTGGATAAACAGCCACTTGCCTGCTACAAGCAGATGGTAAAACAACTGCTGATATTGGAGTGAAACTGGACAAGAAGGTTGGAGCCAACATAAAAAAGCCAGAGATCTGCATGACGGCAAAATGGCTAGTAACATTTATGCACAATACTAATGACTGCCCATGTCAGCCATGGGAATTTTAAATGGCAGGCACTCTCTCCAGAATACACACAATTATATTCTTAAGGGCTTGCATAGGTAGGGAAGTTACTGTGAAGAGGCAGGATGTGAATTTGCAAATGCATATGCTACTCTGAAGTACCTCCCTACATATACACTGGTGATGCACAGCGACTGAGAGATAGTAGAGCTAATGCCCCTGTATAAACAGCCCTTAATTCTTAACAATTAGCATCCCACATTAAGAGGAATGGCAAAAATTACTACTTATAACTCAGCTTCTTCAAAGATGCAGCTCTGGCAGGATTCCCTCTCTTAGGTGTTTAGCTCCCTTGATCAAAATAAACAAGAACGTTTTGGTTTTCAGAAACCTGGTAGTGACACCAATAGTGGTGACAGTGGTAGTAAAGAGCAATCCACGAATAAACACCATCGTTGGAAATCATCAATCAGTTCATTTGAGAAGGAAACAAAAGCTTCCCAAAGGGAATAAGCTAGTCACAAAATACATTTAATTAGTGGCTCTGGGAGAGAAAGATCAATAAATATAATGAAAAAAAATAATCACAACACAAAATCCTCATCTCACTGCTAAAGGGAAGTGTTTGAGAAGCCCTCTAGAATATCTTGAGGGAAGCACAATTACAAAAATAGATATCTTTACAGAAGTGATAATTATTGTTTAGGTTGGGGCTAGCCAACTTCTGGCTAATTGGGAGCCACACGGCACACAGGCCCAGGGGCCACGAGGTGTGGTCCACAGACCAAGGGCCACTCACTGCATGGGCAGCACCCCACCAAGCTATTCCCTACTGTGTGGGAAGTCTGGCAACCCCTTTCCCCAGGCACACGTACAGCCTGGCCCTGTCCTATCTTCCCAGTTGCATGGGCAGCCTGTCCTCCCTGCAGAATTGGATGCCTGGCTCCTCCAAGCTGCACATGCAGCAAGCCCTTCTATTCCTGACCATGTGCCGATCTGAAGTGCAGACAGCCTGCTCTTGCCTTTCTGCCAGACATGCAACTTGGGCAATCCAGCCCCCTCCCCCTGCAGGACCCTACCCCAAGAACAGGGACAGAAAGTAGGAGAAGCTAGAGGTGGATGGGATATCCCAAAGAACCCAGTTGCCCTGGCAGGAGCAGAGGATGGGGGCAAAGCGTGCAGACAGTGGCAGCCATGCCAAGAACCCAAAGGCCACCAGTTAAACAGCCCTGGTCTAGGCAAAATCCTTCGTCTTAGAGATTCAAAAAGGCCACCCCAGGTAGATGATGAATGGTTTAACTTTGAACACCGATGAAGGAGAGCTTCACCAGGGTGGCAGGAAAATATTGACAGAACGGGTGACCTAAATTAAATCTATTCCTTTTCCTTTTTTTAACAAAAGGAATTTTAAAGTAGCACCTTATTA